CATGATTCTGTTCACATCATACATTCAGTGACAACCTTTCATTACTTTTGTGTCCCCTTTGATTATTTTCTTAACATGTAGTAGTAAGATTCTTCTAGTGTAGAAAAGTACATAGATTTCATAAATTCCACACAAGTTATTCTTCCACAGAATTTACTGCTTCGTCAACATAGGACCCTTCTGTGTTCACTGGCAGATATGGTGAAGTAATGAGAGACTAATTTTTAATTTGCTACACCGAGTCCTCATAAAATGTACAAATTCATCTAGTGAGCTGTGTGAAGAACCTCCACTTCTAACAGAAGCTCTCAGTTTCTCCTTGAAACTGACGGCTCTCATCCTCATCTCCTCTCCTGCTTCACAGGTCTCTCCATCTCTAATTGAATCCCAAGACATTGTTTGCATAGATTTTGTTGAATACAGGAGCCACAAACAGAAGCTGTGGCATTTGTGGTGCTGAAAATAACGTTTGGAAGCTTAAACTCTTTGTCTAGAGTTTCAGCAAAGTACATGAACTCATCATCGTAGATGACACATGAGATCTCGTTGCAGCAACAACTAACCCAAACAGTCCCTGAAGCTCACCTGACACTCTTTGTTGAGCTTAAGCAGACACAGTATTGGCCTGAGATTCTCGAAAGCAGACTCTTGTAAGCTTTCTGGAATGGTAACAAACTCAAAATCAGTTAAGTCACCTGAAGGGCTTAAGTAGTTGAACTTGGTTTGAGCAACTGTAATTAATAAACCATTCAAGTGAAGGGTTTTCGCAAATTGCATCATTGAAGAAATATGTCCTTGAGCTGGAACGGGAACAAACAGAACCCTTTTTCTCGCCTGTGTTTCCTCCATTTCCAAGAAAAACTAAGAAATAGTCTCCTCAGCTTCATGCCAAGCGAGTTTCAGTTACTTTGGTCCTAAAATTTTTCTTCTTCTTTCAACCTATTAGATTTATTGAAAGAAGTATCTTTCTGATACAAAATATCAGATTCTCAGCAAGATCAAGCATGATCTACAATTTTAGTTTGTTTGACATGACTTGATCTAAACAATTCAATGATCTCTAATAATACATGAAGTTTAACTTGTTCATTCTGTTTTCAAGTACTTGACGAGCTCATCCAATGCGTTGTGTAAGGAGCCTCCAATTCTCACAGAGGCCTTGACCTTCTCGTTTAAATCAAGGGCTCTTTTCCTCATGTCTTCATCCACAATCAACCTCTTCACAGCTTTCTCAACCTGTCCTCTTTCAACTTCACCTTCACCTTCTATCTGAATTCCTACACTCCAAACGCTTTCTATATACACTGCGTTTAACTTCTGCTCGCTGTGAAAAGGCCTGCAAATCATTGGGACTCCTTCCACAATGCTCTCAAGCGTTGAGTTCCATCCACAATGGCTCCAGAAACCTCCCACTGCAGGATGGGCAAGTACTTCTGTCTGCGGTGCCCATTTCACAATGCATCCTCTTTCTGAGACCATTTTACTGACTTCCTCTGGCAGTGACTCCAAGCCATGTCAGATGACCCATAAGAATGGCAGGTCGCTATTTAAAAGTCCCCAAGACATCTCCAAAATTTCCTTAGCTTCCATGTGATGTATGCTTCCCAAGCTTATGTAGATCACCGACCTTGGTGTATGCTGGTTCAGCCATTCAATGCAGCTCCTGTCCTCTACGAGGAAACTAGAATTCGTTGAAGCTGTAATGTGAAGAGGGCCTAATGGGTACACTGGAATTCCGAGTTCTTGTTGCAGCCATGACAGAGACGAGCTCTCTAGACAATTTGTCGTGTTTACAATAACAGCCGAAGCTGTTCTTTTGTTGACTACTTCCCGACGGAACTCCAAAAGTGGCTCCAATGGCCCAAATCCTGAAGGTCGTAGATGTTTGTATCTTAATGGATGCAATTTTTCCACCACCTTGTCTTGCACTTGAGGATCTGCAAAGAATTTAAAAAAACGTCTTAAAGTGAAACCACTGGCTTCAAGGTGGGCTATGAAGCTAGTTTTACGCACCTTCAGTGTCGATCAAGAACTTCTCGGCATTGAGTTTGCTAAATACACAGCGTAAAACTTGATTTGTAGCACTTTGAGTACTGAAGATGAAACTGGGAATCTCGAACTCCTTAGCTGCAGCTCCACAAAAGTACATGAACTCGTCATAGATGATACATGCAATATCATTGCCATGTTGTAGCAATAGCTGAGCTATACAATCCTTGAAGCTTGCCTCGCTGGTTTTGTTGAGCTTCAGCATAAACTCGACTAATCCGAGTCTCTCGAGTTCAGACTCTGGTAAGCTTTCTGGTATAGTGACAAATTGAAAACCAGACATGTGTCGAGAAGAAGAGCTTACTCGATAAATTCTCCGTGAGCAACGGTAATTCCCGAGTTGCATCATTGGAGTTACATGACCTTGTGCTGGAGCTGGAACTAATACTATCCTTCTTTTTGCTTCCATTTCCTCCATTGCTTAACCTCTCTATCTTTCCCCACTTTCATCTTTCAACGTAGACCAGTTCTAAATAAGTGGTTTAACTAATTATTGAAATCCCTCTTGTATTATAAAATGTTCCACAATCTTCCAAAGTATGGTATTTTATATAGTTAAGTGTTCCATTATGAGGCAGCTACTTCTTTTTCTTAATGCAAACAACCTTCTGCCACATTCAACAAAAGGAAGAAAAATTGTCTTTTTTTTTTTGGCTCATACAAGAGTTAGTGGATCGGTTTAGCCACAAGGGGTAGGTTTCGTTTTGAGATTAGATAATTCTTAAAAATTAAAGAACTTTTAGTCGTCTCCAAATATAGTAATATACCTCATAAGTTTCCAATCTTGGTGCAACCATAGAATTGGTATACAATTCTTAATGCAGGTTGTCACATTCAACAGAAGAAAGAAAAGTGACAATAATTACAAGAAAAGTTGTGTGTGTGCATGTTTTTTGTTTTTGGCTCATACATACATGAGTTGGTGGATCGGTTTAGCCACATGTGGTAGGTTTCGTCCTGAGATTAGATTATACTTGTTATCTAAGTGACTTATAATCAGATACATAGTG